CCCCTGCCTTGCCCAGCCTGACCCCTCACCTCTGCTCTCCCCACTCCCAAACCTGCCAGGGCAGGTTATCCACCCCAGATAGGGGTAGTGAGGGCAAACGGGCATTGCACTGTCAGCAGTGTGAAGGAAGGCTGTGGGTTTTTAAGGGATGAGTCTTGGTTCCAGGCCAGCCAGGTGGATGCCAAATTCCAGGCTTAAATTCTGTTTATTCAGAGGCCTGCCTGCTGTTGAGCAGCCAGACTGGGCAGCACAGGGATTAGGAGTCGTCAGGGACCACTGACCCTGCAGAGACATTGTATGAGTGCTCTGGCAGGCTCAGAACACCACAATCTCCCTTCTGGGCCCTCTGCCTGACACCTTCCAATTCCCTACTGGCCTCCCCTTGAGGACAAGGCTCTTTTGATGGCTGACGAGCTGCAGTTGCAATCCCTGCTGGGCAAGGCTCATTTTTAGAAGATGATGAGCAAAGTAGCCCTGTCCTACCTCTGGCTGGTGCAGCTCCAGATCCACTTTGCTCTTGGGTGTGAAGGACAGAATAGCACCAAACTGCCCTGCGGATGCTCTCTGGGCAGCAACACCTGTGGGCTGGACCACACTGGCATGAAAACACTCAAGAGGCATCTTTCCTGACCCTTAATCATCCCTCTGTAAACCACAGGGACTGTGAGCCTTCTTGCAAAGCCATGTGCCATAGGAAAAGCCACATTGGACATGTGCAAAATGTGCCAATCGCATCAAGACATGTTTGAAGCGCCTGCTTGGGGATGATGAATTGTGGGAGGAAGCACATGGCACCCAGCAGAACACACCCATGGGTCCTGCCATCTCCCCTCACTGTTTTGGAGGCATAAAAAGAAATGAAGTATGAATTTAGCACAGCAAAAGATACTGCACTGCCAGTGGGAAATGTATTTTAGCCACAGATCCCTTACAAAGGAGGAAATACATCTGTAGGATCTCTATCTTGCTACTACAGACTCCTGTTGCTTTTTCTTCTCGTGTTCCCTTATCCAAGCCAAACCTCACTTCTGTAGCTCTGTGTGTCCCTGCAGGAGGAGTCCCCGGGCTCATGTCATGGAAAGCACGTATAAACCATCTCAGAGCAAAAGCCTCTCCTGACAGGAAGGTTGGTCACTAAATATTAAAGTACTTTCCTTTTGTTTCCCGGTTCTGGTCAGCTGTTTGAGTAAATGATTTTGTGCCTCTATTTTCCCTTTGTGCTCCTTTGTCCAGGTGGTTTCAAGTGTAAGAATTTTACATTAGGGAAAATGTGTTTGAACACCCTGGCGTAGGCAATGGGGAGTGCTGGCCCCAGGTGTTGCAGGTCTAACATTATACAAGCTGTGTCATGAATGGTAGGAGGCACAAAGTCCCAGCAAACAGAAAGCACTATCTCCAGGCAGGAAGCAAAGAGTTTCCAGCAGTGAGATGAGCTGTTGGGGCCCAAAAATTTTCCGCAGTATCCCCCAGAGCTGTCCCAGACGGGATTTACTCGGGAACCTCCTCCGTGGGCTTTCTCTTCTTTAAAGTGTCACCAGCAGCAGCTCTCCTGTGCTCCCTGGCTGCTCCGAGGTGGAAGCACAGTTTTATCCTGGAGTGCTGCAAGCAGGAGGAACCACCAAGACAGGTACCCTAAGGATGAGGAGAGAGGTAGGGTGGGAAGAGAACACCTGCCAATATAAAAGCAACAATAGTAAATCCCCACATAAAGCCTTCCTTGCCATGGTCCAGTACCTCGCTGGAGACATCCCTCGTGGTGGGTCAGGCACTAGAGGTGCAGAAGATGGCACAGTCGTGTTCCCAGCCCCCCTCTGAGGGTGGGTGAAGTGTGTTTCCCGGTATGGCAGGTCATCCCTGGGGTCCCAGGGCAGGTGGACATCTCACACTACTGCAGGAGCTGAGTGTGACCACATTCACGGAATTGAAACCATTTGGGAAAAAGAAAAACCAAACCAGCTGACACTACAGGGGGGCTCTGGCCACTTCCCTCATTTCCAGGGGAAAGTTTTTAACTTTCCACATAACAAAGAACAAATTTGTAATTGGCAAGGCCAGGGACGTGTGAGTTGGAAAGCTGTTCCTCAGGTGGACAGAGGGTTGGGAGAGGCGGGGGCCTCCACTCCCACACTGGCGCAGGGAGGGGAGATGTGTTTCCCCAGATTCTCCCCGCCAGATGCAGGAGTCTACACCCAGGAAGGGGATGTGGGCAACACGAAGCCTTTCAGGCGGGGTCCGGGACGGGGCCTCTGTTGGGGAGGGGGTTTATTCATTTTAACGACCCTTCCAGTTCCTAGTGCGAGCATCGCCAGGCGACAGGTCCCCAAAGTTCAGGGGGCTGAGGGGCAAGTCTCAGAGCAGCGACGCCCGGGGTGCGGGCGGGGCCGGAGAAAGCATCCCGGACAGCCCTGGGATGCGGACACCGTTCCCGCGGGGAAGCGCTCCCTCTCCCGCACAGCCCACCGGGCTCCAGCCGCCGGAGCCGCATCGCCACCTCCCGGCCCTCGGGGGAAGCGCCGGGAGCCCCGACCTGGCCCCGGGCAGGGGTGGTCGGCAGGGGAGCGGGGCTCGCTTTTTAAGGTATGGCGGACAGGAGAAGCCCAAGCGCAGCCCTGTGAGGAGGCTGAAACCCAACAGGAGCCCTCCGCACTGGACCCTGGAGGGTGCCCCCAGCAGCACCCCTTCCCAAGCCAGCAGGCCCCTGGAGGTGTCAGGCACATCCCCATGACAGAGTGGCTGAGGGGAAAGGCATCCACCAGGCCGACAGAGACCCCTCCACACTATGGCTATTGGCCATCCTGTCACCGCCCTGCTAAGCCATCCCTGCCATGGTGCCCCCGTGTTCTCCCGGCCATGCATCCCCTGCAGCGCCACAAAGGCAGGAGCTTTCCCACCCTGGCAACCCCCTCACTCCCGCTTTCCCCATCTGCACTGGGCAGGGTGACATGGGGGTCCTGAGTGAAATACAACTTCCAAGCTGCCAGAACCATCTTACCCTGGGGCAGCAGCGATGGCTCTCCAGGGGGAAAAGCCCATTGCTGGCGGCACCAGCCCCAAAATGTGAGCACTTCATCACTCCACACCTCTGCATAAGAGAACTGTCCCTGGTACAGCTGGGATTCCCCCGGTCTCCTCACACCTTCAATTTATGGCCAGCAGTACTTAGGTGGTCTTAAATAGTTTAGGACCCTCCTTCTGAGGTCTCACTGCTCAGGCAGTGCAATCCCCTCCAGCCCTTTCTCAGGGCAGGGGCTCTGGCTGGGGGGGGCCTTGGCAGGGGTAAAATCCCTCTATAGGGGCTTCCCAGAGACCCCCAAAACCCCACCAGCTTGTGCTGTGAACAACCTGGACCATATGAGCCTCAGCTGCCTATCAACCATCACAGTAAAATCCTGCATTTTCAGAGGTTACCACTCCCAGCTGGCCCCCAGTACCCCGTGATTTATGATTGGCTCTTTCTGGCAAGTAGTATGTAACAAGATAATGATAAAGGAAGGGAGCTGCCCCCTCCCCACCTGTAGTCTGAGTAGCCTGCCTTACACCTCCCAGCACTGCTGTAGATGCTGGGAGGCTCTGTTCCATAAGAGTAGAAGCCTCAGCAGTGTCTAGTTCACTTTGTTCCATTATTATAAGTGCTGTCCTCTCTTCTCTATACTGAGTTTATGAATCATTTAGTTTATTAATCCCCAAAGAGTCAGGGAGCCCTAGGCTTTGTTTTAGGGGGTGCAGTAAAGCCAGGTGGAGGGGCAAGCCAAGCTCTTGGGAAGGACCTGCCCCTTCCCAACCCCGTGCATAAACCTCAGGGTCAGCAGATGCCAGCACTCTGTCACGATGGGTTTATTTCTCTGGCTTATTCCCTTTCTGTCTCCACCGTGATGTTGTGGTGTTTCCTTAACTCTCAAGAGAAGTTTTTGTAGAATAGGGTTGAGGGTCTTATTCCTTCTCTTCTGTTTTTGCATTTCAGAGTGCAGCTGGGTAAGTTTTGGAGGTTTTTGTTTTTCTCCAAAGGTAGGAAGAGGAGTCACATACCAGAGAGACTCTCAGTGGCCCACAAAAACTGGAGCAATAAGTAAAACACTGTCGGAAAAGGTGCTGCAGGAGTGTGCATGGCAGCCAGACAGGAAACGTGTTGGCTTTCTCACAGCCCACGAGAGACCGCTGGTGTACGGAGAGCAGCCGTATTTCATTTATACTGCCAGTTCTACCTCCTAGAAACAAGAGGTTTCTAGTCTTCAAGCAAATTCTATGCTGGGTTTCTCCTGCAGTTTGTTTTAGGGGAGCCACGGTAAGCCAGGACTGGTCCCCAGGCCGTGCTGCTCCTGGGGGTCTGGGCATTAAATCCGGCTTTCTGTGGGGCAGCCCACCCACCTCCCTCAGTCAGGCTCCTGCTGTCCTGTGCTTGCAGAAACAACCAGAAGAGAATGGAGCTGCCTCCAGGCTCTACAACTTGATTCCTCCTTCAGCGAAGAAACAATCTGTTTCTTTTTTTGGTGGCCTTTGGTCCAAAGTGCTCCCTCTAGCCCTGCCCACTGCGGCTGAGAGGGAGAGGAGCAGGGGAAGTGCTTGGCCATTCCAGGCAGCTCTGATGCTCCTGGGTGCTTTGATATTCTTCGGTGCAGAAATCACAGGGTGGCACTTGGGAACCACTCAGTGGGAGCCACAACACAGTGTTTGCAAGAAAACATTAAAAAAAATTCGTGATGTGGAGCTGGCTTCATGGGCTTCCCTGAAGAAGGGGGATGGAGAAATTCAGGCCCCCTCCCAGGGGTGCCCTCCACCGAGCCTGGGGCCCCCCCACAACCCCAAGTCTGCTCCCCCCCCGCCCTGCTCCCTGCAAAGTCAGTTCCTGTTTGTGAGGATCTGTCCCTAGTGCAGGGTCCTTCCCTACTCTTGCTTTTATGCAGCTGGAGGCCAATTTCCCCCCACAAATCATCGTGGATGTGAAAGGTTGTTCCCAGGCTGCTGCAAGCCGTGCAGGGCAGACACAGACTGCACATCAGGGGAATGCTTCCCATATGCCTTTATTTGCAATGTTACAGGACTTTTTTACAGGTACTGTGTGTTGGTGTTCCAGACCAGTTTGGATTTTCTTCTGTATTTCCCAATGACTGAGAGGTGTGGTGGGAGCAGGGAGAATCCCTCACATCAACCATTCCAGCCTCCAGGAAGGCATAAGACATCTGAGAGGAACAATCCGCTTCTTCCGAAGCCACAAAGCAAGAACTCTGGTTTATAAACAGGTTTAAAAAATAATGTACATATATAAGAGCAGCTGGAAGCTAAAGTACAGCGGTAAGTGGTACATAGCTATGCGTATCTGTTCACACCCTTTCTCCAAAGCTGGAAAAGGGATGGTTTAAAAACTAAAAACAGTTTAAAAAAAAAGAAAAAAAGAGGGATTCCATGCATTAAATTTTAGTGTTTTGTGCAATTAAAATGGGATGAAAATAAATATAACTTAAAAAAACCCCAACCTTTTCCATGACACTAATGGAACAGAGGCAAGTCTATAAGGCACTTCCACATGGGCTATTCTAGAAAGCCTGGCAAGGAGCTAAAACAGTGCAACCATTTACAATGACATCCGATGAGCAAAAGACACCATGTCTGGTGAGATATGAACCCATAAAACCTTAGGAAACTTCAGTCCTTGAAGAGGCTGGGGCATAGCTGCAGACAGCTCAGCTGCCAACTCCTCCTCCTCCTTATTGCTGCTGGGAGATCTCCCCCACTGAGGGTGCCGGACCCACTGACCTATGGCAGAGGGGCTCTGGAACTCTGAAATGAGACAGTGGGTTTGGGGATGGAGCAGGTGGGGGATTCGTGGCTGTCAAGCTCCTGCACCACCTCCTGCACTGCAAACTCCTTCTGTCCTCAACTTGAGGGACTCCTGCCTTGCCCCACAGACTCCCTTCCCTGCAGTCCTCTCGATGGATGACCTTTAGCGAGCCAGCCCTGCCGCCGCTTAGTTCAAATGTTCCAGGAAGTTAAAAAATAGCCTCCGCCCTAAACAGGGAACTGGGTGTTTTTGCAGGATCAGGAGCGCAGAGGCCATCCACAGAGCCTGAGCAGGCTGGGAAGCCAGTGCAGTGGCAGTCAGCCAGCTCTGAGGAAAAAAGGGGAAGGCATGGGCATGCCTGACCCCAACTCTGCTTTGCCAAGCTCCTGGTGACTAACCCGGGAGATGCTTTGCTGCTGTAACCCTTTGTCTGCTGAAGATAAAAGTTATGGAGATGCTCCAGGTGTGAGGGTTGCCCTGGGCCAGGTGTGGGCATTGGTGGCATGACCCCTACACACGTGCTCGGCTGCTGGCAAAAAAACCTGATCAACCCAGATGGCTACTTTTGGTCTCATAGTAGTCCTTTATAAGTGATTTTTCCCAGCTAAGGAGGATTGCAGACCCTAGCTAATGTAGGCTGGAAGCAGCTGCTAGCAGGGTAGCTGAGGGTCTAGAGAGGATTTCAAAGTGTTACCCACCAGGACACCCTGTGTGGGGGATGTGGGTGGGAAGCACCTGGCCATGGTAAATACCTGTGCCCAGCTACAAGGCTCTGCAGCAGGAGAGAAGCACTCGCCCTTCAGTGCCACTCAAAAATAACTAAGCAACCTCTATGGGATGTCTACAACACAACACCCCCCAAATCTGCCCTTCTAGCAGCTCTTAAGGACCTGGCACAGCTGGTTCCCTAGGCTGAAAGGTGCTGGCAAAGACAACTAACGAGATCCCACCCCAGTGTCCTTCACCATCTCCACACCTTGCTCACACACCTGGGCTGCTAGAAGGTCCTGGGCATGGCCACCGAGTGTTTTCAGGATGAAGCTACCGATCCCAGTGCAGGGAGAGGCTCCTTCCTCAGCCAGCCCTCTTAAAATCAGGCTGCGCAAGAGACCAAAGCGCGACAGGCAAAGCATGCGCTTGCCTGAGCAACCCCTCCGGGCTGCTCCCACTGACTCTGCAAAGGCAAGGTTTCAAGTTCAGCTTTTGTTCTGGCAGGTTAGCTCTCTATTTACAAGGAGAAGGGGAAAAAAAAGCCAACCAAGACAACCTAAGAAACCACAACAAAAACACATTAAATAGGGAGAGTATAGCTTTCAAATGGGAAGGGGAAGGACTGGAAAGTGTCTTGTAGTGCAGTTCAGAAGAGTCAGTCGGGGGCAGGCTGGGGGTAGTGGCAGAGTTGGACGTGTGGCTTTAATGCAAGTCTTCGTTCTGGGACAACTCTGTCAGGATCTGAATGAGGTTGTCCAGTCCCCAGAGGTAGCCATCCTCTCTGTTCCCTTCCACCCAGGGCACGTTGTGCTGGAGAACTTGTCCCTCCGGCAGTGGGGTGGTTTTCCCAAAGTCAATCATCCAGACTTTGGCCTGTTCCTGCTTGTCGTGAATGAAGAGGAGGGAGCTCCCAATTACCTGCGGAGAGAGGAGATGAATTAGTGGTGCTTCTGTTGCTCATTCTCAGACAGCTTTGGGGCTTTCAGACGCCTTATCTCAGGCTGCACTTACAAGAGATCTGCTGCAGTTTTGCACGAGCAAAAGCAAGCTCTGGGTGCTGCTGGTTGTGTTTGCACATGCAAATCGGGCATTTGGACAAGCTGATTTACTCATACAAATGTCAGGTCTTAGCAAAAGATCAGAAAAACATAGGCATGAAAGACAGAGATGTTATTTTGGAAACTGAGCCAAAGTCCCCTAGGAAGGAATGAGATGAATTGTCTCAGCCTTCAGAAGGGAATTTTTTCCAAAGCTGGTTCTTTGTGATTATCTTGTGCTGTTCACTCTCCAGCCCTGCAGACATGACTGCAGGGATGGGGATGCTCAAAGTACAAGTTCCTTGCAACATGCTGTCTCTATTCAATTACACTCGGATTCCCCCTAGAATATCCTCTGGGCTTTCACAGCACTCTGGGGTGTAAGGTACAGAGCTGCATGCACAGAGATTTCCTTTTCCCTGACTGCACTCAGCTTCGTCTGCTTTGAAGGACTCTTTCACATCCTGATCAGCCTTTGGGAAATCCTGCAGCAACTGTTGGCCTGGGCAACTGGGGGAAGCCCACAGGGGCATTTGGGCTCTGACAGCAGAAGTCTCAAGACCTAATGCGGTGGGACAAGACTGAACAAAGACATGATCACCAGCCATGGAGCAGAGAGATGATCAGCAGGTGGGAACCTCCAGCTCAGGACCCTGACCCATCCCGGCTCACAGTCCCAGTCAGGCTGACACCCAGCAGCAGCTCTGCTGTGGCTTCCCAAAGCTTAAAGAACATGTATCAGTATCGGGCCAGTCACCGTCGTGCTCTTATGCAGAATCTGCTCCTCCAGTCAAAAGATTTTAGCAGGGGCTTCTACAGAAATGCACCAATGGATGTGCTTCAGAGTTGTCCCAAATGGAGACTGTTCCCAAATTCCCTCTGGTGTGCATGAATTGGTGGAGTACAAACTCACTTGCCCTTGTATCACAAATAGGGACCCTGGTGACAGGAGTGAAAGGGCAGTAGCAGAGGTAATGCAGTGAACTGAGAGCCACAAGTGTCCCATATGTACGTGGAGGAGAATCCAGTTGCTGTCAGCCCTCCACAACAGCAGCACTAAACATTGCTCGGGACTCCCACATTCATGCTATCAGCGGGGTTTAGCTTGAGATTTGCCTTTAGACAAGGGTTTTGAATGGGAAGCATGTACTGTTTGCAAAAGCTGTTATGAATTTACATTTTTGAGGAGGCTTTTTCCTGCAGTGCATTGGGAAAACATCCAAGGTCCAGAGTTATGTATTATTTCTGAGAAATGCTTACCTACAGCTCTCCTCCTTCTAAGCCTCTTTCTTGGCCAGGAAGAAAGCATTTTAATTTTAAAGAAGAGCCTTTTGCTGATGTTCTTTGCTTGCCTGTCCTGGGCCGCCAAATTGTCCTGCAGGTCCTCAGAGGAGCCCTGTGCAGCAAGGGCCCCATGAAGGGACACACAGAGCATGGCAGGCCTTCTGCTGTGCTTCATCTTGATGCAGGATGGAAAGTCAAAGCTGCTGCTTTTTAATTTTTAAGGAGTGGAAACTCCTTTCAAAACCTCCTTTGAAAGGCTGCTTTGTTTCTGTGTTTTCAAATGAAACCCTGGCACTCGGTTTCAGGGAGCATTTTGTTTCCTGTGTTGAACTGACCTGAAACCCTCAGTTTTGACATTTCCCTTCCTATTGCCTTACAGGCACTGCCATCAGGAGGCATGGCCCCATCTGCCTCCAGCTCCCAGCAGGACTCTCCGTGTGTGGCCAGAGCCGAGGTGGCTCATGCGGCTCTGGCTGAGGGACACTGGGCTCTTATAGCTGTGGCTTCTGAGTGCTGTGAGTCAAAGGCTCCTATGAAGGTCCTTTGCCCATAGATAAGACGTGACAACACGTGACAACACGTGACAACACGTGACAACACGTGAC